CCAGTCTTACGGTAAAGTAGAAGTTACAGTCTTCTGAAGATTGGGTGCTCCCCTTTGGCCTAATCTGGTTCTGTGACATAGAAAACCTGTTTGATTTTTCCCTCCCCAGTAATCCAGCAGATTTTAGTCCCTGTTTGTTTGATGTGTAAGAAAACCTGAATGCTGAAGCTTTGTTTTTGTGGGGTTTTTTTGTATGGATGAGTAAGGACACAGTTTGCCGTGAATTCAAGACACAAGGAGGAGATGAGGAAGGTTGGAGGCCACTGTGAAAAAGCAGAGTAGTGTTCTCAAGGGGTCCATAGGAATATCTGGGGTGTATCTGTTTAATTCCCCTAACTAAAGAAAGGAAGCGTATGGTAATATGTCAACTTTCAGTTTTCATCAAAGATGAAAACATTTTCAGCAAAGGTAAAAAATAGATGGGAGAAAATAGTGTCATCTATGGAATTTTGACCAGTAGGAATATTCTCAGGGTAGCCTTCTTATGCAACATAACAACAAATGAAGCAGACAGACTCTGTGTTTGGCCCTGGTCCAGCTGTGAGGGGAGATGGTGTGTATAATGTCTCTCTGAATCAGCTGCTGCAGGATATGTTTCTCTCTTGGGTCGGAGTCATTCCACAGCTTATACGCCGTGATACAGCAAAGAGTGTTCTCTTCCAAGCGCTGTGCTGGAAATCCAGTTTGGTTGATGGAAAACTTTTCCCTGAAATGTGACTTAAGACCCAAATTACTCCAATCTGTCCATAAAATCTGCAAGCCACTTTGTTTTCAGAAGCACTTGGCCCCTTCCCTGTTTGCTGAGCTAACCCTCCCATTAATACACACACGAGCACGGCTGTTCCTATGCTGCTGCAGCATGTGATAAGTGAAGGTTCAGGCAGTGAACCAACACAGTAATAAACTGTAATTGTTTAGTGCACCTTGCCTTCTAATACAATTTAAATCCCTCCTATCAAATGCAAATTTCTAGGTTCCTAAGTGGAGCTTTAAATAGCATTTTCTATGCTCATTCCTTATCTTTTGCCATCCACAAAGTTGTTAGTGACAGTGGGATGGCAGAATTCCACCCCTGTCATTTTGTCTCCTAAAGGAAAGCTGCCTACTCAAATCTAGAAATAATGGGCTAGATTAAGAGCGAATTAATGTTTTTCTGTAGAGTCTGTGTCTTTCTCTTGCCCTCCCCAAGTTATAATAACCTATGAGCATTCTCACCAAATGCTATTCAGCACACAGTGATGCTTGGAGGATGCAACCAGTGCAAAATTTTATCACTCATTTTAGTAAGTCAGACCCTGCTTTCTACTTGTTCCTTCCATCTCTCCTGTGACTGACTTGGTATAGTTTAGGATCTTGGGGTGGCTTTAGGCAAACGACTTGCCTGGGTTCAGTAGAAGTGCTGAGTAATAGTTGCTTTGGAAATCACTCAGTCATTGACCTGTTGTGGATTAAAGGCAGAAATGTCAAACACTTTAATGATTTGCCTTATCTAAGTTTTCAACTTAAAAGAAGAGAAGCTTAAATTGGTCCACTGGGGACAAGAGGCATAGGGATGGCTGGAGTAGTGGGAACAGCTTTGTAAGATAGATGGGAAAGAGTGTGTATACTCCAATGCTGAGCAGCTTGGGAAGTGACAAGGGCTGTTCTTTAGATTGTGCATCACGTTTGAATTTTACTATTACTTCAGATGCTGACAAAATTGTGGGAGGAGAAAGAAATCTACCTGTAGGTGTTGGGAATCTATTTTTGGGGTAAAATAACAGAACATTTAGCTCTGCTCAGTATTAAATAGTCTTTTCCAAACTCCCTCTCATTGTTACCTCAGCTGTAAAATAGGGAGTTTGTGCTCTGTTGAAGCTTAATTAAATGACTGTGAAGTGCTTTGGGATCCTGAGGTGAATGTTAAAGAAATTATTTTATGGAAGCCTGGCTGAGAAGTCCCATCTCATCTCCAGGTTACTAAAAAGGCTTTATTTTAATTTTCCCAGGTTTATTATGTTTTAATCAGACAATTATTAAACAAGTCTTAATCAGATTTAATAGATTTCTATCCTGATCAGAGGGCCAAAAAAGATAATGAACTGCTTTACTACATGTGCTTTTAGGAGCTAATCTTTACAGTTGGTATCTTGCTCAACTTCTGCCTCCTGCATGATCTGGGTTCATATACTGATTGCTCTTATGATATGGAGGGGGGGTTAACTATAAATTATTTATTTCATCCTGATATCTTAGTGCTCTTTGCTATGTGTACTAACCAGCACTATTAACATCTCTCTGTTAACACGAGGGTTTGTTCTCATCCTCTGCCCAGGAACAAGGGATGCAATGGTGTGAGCAACGTGTCAGTGGAAAATTTTGTGTGTTGTGCTTATAGGTTTGTCAGAGAAAGTAAGTTGGAAGGAATCTCTGCTTTTTCAGTCTGTATGCAACGAATAACTTAGTGTATAATTCTTCTCTTCCTAATTTTTAAGCTTGAAATTTTTTCTGAAACAACTGAACTATGCAACGAAATTCTCAGCCATTTAGCAGTGGTCACTTACTGTATAAATCTGGTAATGCAGAATCTCTGGGTCGTAGGAAAGGTCACGGTGTTATTACTTCAGTAGTTGTGGGGGTGTTCATTATCAGGATGCTGAAAATATCTCAAGAGATTTGTTTAGTAATCAAGGAATTTGAGGAAACTTTTGAGTCAATGAAATGTAGCCTCTTGGTTCCAGTGAAAGCACTTGAAGCTAAGAGAGAACAGCACTTCTGTGGCTGATCTTGATGAGCTACCTCACTGACAGGAGGGATGTCTGGCTTAAGTGATGGTCTCTGGTAGCAGCAGAGAACTGGTCTTTGCCCAGTTCCTTTCAGTTTCAACAAATAAACCAGCATTGTGAGAAGTGATTGAGAACACCTGATATTCCTGTTTCTATTACACAGTGAACTATTAGGCACAAGCCTCCTTGATTGCATTGGTTTCTGCTGCTTTCCCCGTGGAATTCAAAATAACATCAACCAAAGCCCGTAAAAGATGTGGCTGTAGCTCCTTTTATCAGTGTTGGCTTGCCAAAGACATGCAGTTTGTTCCCAGTTTGTCTTCAGTGAGAAATTCTCTGAAGTGTGGTGATAATTTGTCTGGATGGCAACATAAGGGAACTGTAATCTTTCTCTTTGCTTGATCTATGTGGAGATTGTGCTTTTTCTTCGTGTGTATTTCCCTTCAATTCTGGGTGATTGCTTCTGACCTAGCAGAGAGAACTCTCTGCAGCCTGAGAAGTGGTGATCTGAGCCACCTTCTCACCTCTTCGAGGAAAGAAGTTTGCTATTGCAAAACATCCTCCCTCTTGGTTCATAAGAATGTGCTGATCCTGAGGATACAGCACAGAAAGGTGTTTGGGTAACCCTGTAGAGCTGATGCCATGGAGTGAACAGAGCTTCACACAGGGTGGGGTGGGAGGCTGAGAGCAGGGGAGACGCTGAGAGTGTTTGATGCTTGGTATGCCATGAATTATGCATTTCTATACCATGAATTATCGGTGTAGAAAATAACCTGTGAAACTCATGAGTAACAAAAGCACCATTTACGTCACTGAACAGTGGTGAATTCTAGTGCTTGTATTTGTATTGTTACACTGACTTGAATTTTTGAATATTTAGCTAATTGTGTTGTACTAAGACTATAGTTGTAGGAACTGTTTCATTCAGTACTCCAGTAGTAAACACTTGCTAATAGGTTGCTTTCCCTGCCTGCCTTGTTTTCACCACAGTCATCTTAGTGTTTACATACATTTTAGCCTCTGTGCCATTTCTGAAGGCTTTATTTGTCTCATTTATGTTTTTGGTTTGGATAATACTTAAATATGAAATCCATCTGGGAAACATATTGTATATTCACGTTGAGGGGTAAAACCAGTTTTTAATTAAAATTTTATACAGCACTTGTATTTCACTTTGTCCTGTTTTATTATGAAACACTTCAATCTTCTTCCTAAAACACATATGTCTTGTGCGTTTCAAGATGTTCCTTGTTGCTCATGCAGAACCAGTTTCGGAGCTCTGTCAGCAGAGTGCCATATGTTCTGGGGTTCATTTAGCTTCTCTGGCATTTGTGTAGGCAGCATATTGGATGTAATGCAGCTCAGCTCAGCTCCATTCTTCTCTTTGTAAACTTGTCAAGAGATAAAAAAAAAGCAGGGAGAAGGAAAACACTGAATAATACTCGAGCGATTTGAATTATCAATAAGTTACGGGAACGTGGCCAATCAAAATTGAGGTTTCTCGTGTGCTTGAGGATTTTCCTTAGTTGCGGCTTATGCAGAGCCTATAAAGTGATGCATCCCTCGGTGCTACCCAGTATTACACCCAAAACAAGTGCTCAAGATTAAGATGTAACCCAAACCACTTGGAAATGACAAGCATTAAGTGCTCAATTTTGCATTGATCTGCTAGTTTAAATTAAAAAAAGAAAAAAGAGTACTAGAAGATGGGCGTGTGAAGGGATCATACTCCTCTTTGGTGTCCTCTGGCTTTGGGGAAAATAACTCTGCACTCTTTAAATGTCTGGTACTGAAAAGAGAAATCTCAAGGCTGATGGTGCCCTCCTGTAAAATAAACCCAAACCAACAAAAAGTCATTTTTCTACCAATCCATTCCTGTTTCCTCCCTGCCCCCATAATCTTGACCATGAACCAATAGGTGCCATCAGTCTTTAATAAATGCCTGGTGTGTAGGCACAGCCTCGACTGGTCACTAGTGGTATCCAGGTACCTGCTCTGCTCTGCCAAGAGATCTCAGAACCATCTCTGTGTCTGTGACAGAGGCCCAAAGTATTCACAGGGCCAAAGTATTTCTGAGATTCTGTAACTAGAGTTTAAAAACAAAAACCAAAAAACCACAAACAAACCCGAAAGAATAAAGAACTAGCAAAAAAGGAATCCATATTAATGTGTTTTCCTTTTGCTGAGGTGTGGGACTGGAAGGAAAGGGCATGAGTGGCTGCTGGAGATGACTGTGTGGAGGAGTGGGGAGGGAAACTTCTGCAGTTCTGACCTAAGGGCGGTCAGAAATAACCAGCTGGAGTGACATGAGTGTAAACCTGGTTGAAGTGACAGGCAGCTCAGCTTCTGGGACTCTATTTACATATGTTTAAAACAAACAAAAAAAAAAAAGGTGCCTTTGTTCCCAAGGAAAATCTATTTACTTGGCATTCAGCTCATGTATAAGCTGGAACTTCTTTCACAGGAGATGTAGAAACAAAGCGACTGACATTTCTGCTTTGATGTGAGGCTGAAGCTAAGATTTGATTTTGAAATATGAAAGTAAACTGAAACTACCTCCAATTTAAAGGTGGATTTTTTTTAATGACCTTAAAAGTTTTGAGAAGTTTTTTGTCCCCCCACCTTAGGGACCAGAAGAATTTATAACAGTAATCTTACTTATGGCTGTAAGTCTACAGAGACAGTGGCTGTAGGTTAATGAAAAATTGACACTGCTACTTGCCTGTGCTTCCAGCAGAATTTTTTTTTTCTTCAAACTGAAGTGAACTATTGCACTGTGTGAGCTGGTTATGAGTCTCACATATTAAAGTGAATGCTGCATTTGTGGAACTACAGGAGCGAGTCACAGCTGAACGTTCTGAACAGTGTTCCTGTTTTGAACAAATGCAGCAATAATTATGGGTTTCTTAAAATGGTTACGCTGGTCCTTCCTACACACACTCAGAAATAAAGCCTGCTGGGTTTGTCTAAACCAGAGAGTGGCGGGGGAATCGTCCCTGGTGATCTCCATCCCAGTACAAAATCCCAAGTGCTGTCAGCCCAGCTCTTGTGGCACTGAGGCTCCTCGGGGGACACCCTGTGGCCCACAGAGAGTTGTTCAAGTGTCCTCTCCAGGAGCCTTTCTGCAGTGTCTTTTGGGACAGCTTATTCCTGGGAATTGTGCACAGAAATGGCACGGACTCAGCAGCTCAGGCTGACTTTGGTTCAGTCTGACAACTTAATAACTGTTTGTTGTCCTTGGCATGGTGGTGCCATCTGGTCCTGCTTGGACAGCTGATCTGTAATACTGCACTGCATGGTATTCCAGCTTTTGCTGATGGAATCTTGGGCTGTGCTGGAATGGCACACGGATACCTCGATGCCTGCCTGTGGCCAGGTGGCACGTGCTTAAATCACATCACCCCTGTGCTGTGATGGAGAGGGACACACAGGGATGTTGGAAATTGCTTTTGAGACAAAGGGAGGGAAGGCATGAAGGTGGCTTCAGGTATGATATGGGATCCCAGGTCAGGAATCAGAGCCATTGGATGTCTACAGTCCTCCCTGCTCCCCTTTAGGACTTCAGACCTGACCAGACTCCGAAGAGTGCCCAGTGCCACCACAGCAACACAGTGTCGGGGCAGGAGCTCAGCAATTGGCTTCTTCACTCATGTTCAGATGCTTCAGAGGAGGTTGTACAGAAATCTCAAATTGCTGTGACACCAACATTATATCTGTGCTGAAAAAAAATCACTTTCATCTCTTGCTCCTTGTGTTGCCCTCATAGCACGCTGTATATCGCTCTTACTCTTCAAGGAAAATAAAAGAAAGAATGTTCATCCCTGACTTTGGAGAACCCTGGAGGTTGGATGGGACCTCTCACATTATGCTGGCGTAGTCTGAAATGAGGAAAATAAATGTACCTCATTAAATGTGTGTAGAGGACTGTGAGAGGAGACGCTTGAATTTGGTTTTTGCATTCACTCCATTTTGTCCTTTGCCACTTCCTTTTGGCTTTATCCCCTTTTTTGCCTTTCCATGATTATAAAGCCCTATTTCTCTGCATGCACTGTCTGTGATTTTTATTTATGTGGTGTTAAGTTCATAACAGACAAGTGCTTCATGAACAGAAGGGGCTTGATGAAATCCAGCAGCTGAAAGCTGGAGCAGAATGCAGTCACACCAGAAGTAAGGTGCAGATCCTTTTTTCTTTCATGTAATGAGTATTTAGCTTTTAGGACACCTTAGCCAGAAACTCATTTCTTCTTAGCTTGCAGTCTTTGTGCCAAGATTTACAATGATGCTAAAAAGAAGGTGGCTGAACTGGTAACATAATAAAGAAATAAACAGAGATGTTCTGCCACGTGCACTGTGGTTATTGCTCAGTCAAACATCACAAATTCTACCAGTAAATGCCAGGTAAAAGTAGCAGATGAGACCTTTTAGAAGTTTGGAGTCTGGTTCTGCTTTGGTATGTATGGCCTCGACATGTGCAGCCTGAGCTCTCAAATCAAACTACAGAGTGTCCCCAAAGTCACTGGAGATACAGCTCCAGTTTTAGCAGAGGGGCATCCTTCTTCTCTTATTAACTCATTCCCTTTTAATCTGCAGAGGAGCCAAACCCTGCTTTGGGGTATATTCAGGTTTGTCTTATTTGTCATTAATTTTTCAAGACCTGTGCTACACTGATGACTTTTTAATTACAAAAGAAATCCAGGATACTTTGTTATGTAGCAATGAAATATGTGGTTACACCAGCCAGTTTAGTACATGTGCTTTTGCTGCTCTGCAGAAATACACAAATGCACACTTGGAAATCCTCTTGCTGGTATGTCAGCATTTTGAAACTTCTCCAGTGTGAGGTTAGCAGGGTTATTTTCCTTTGTCTGGTGTTTAAAAACACTGCTCCCAACCTGGTATCTGGGTAAGATAAAATGAGTCCAATGAAGGTAGGAAGTTGACTTTCTTACCTCTAGGAGAAACACTTCTTGGCTACATAATTCAAAATTGTTTTAAGCAACCTTCTCCTTCTCCCACAGCAGGGAAGAGGAGTAATTTCCCACTGCCAGAGGTGACACAGCCCAGAGCCAGGCATATGGAAAAAGGCCTGTGGAGAGACAGTGGTGAATATCTGCACAAAAACAGGGCTTAGAATATAGGTTCATAGGTATAAATAAAGTAATGCAAAAGCAAAGCTGATATGAAATTTTTGCATTACTATTTGCAGTAAAAGTAGGAAAGGGATTCTGATAGGTACTTTGGTATTTATTATTTATTATTATTATTATTATTATTATTGTTATTGTTATTATTTTGCTCAAATGAAGGGAAGGGACAGTAAGAAGAGGGTGCAGAAGAAAGGTAGCTAAAACAGCTAAATTTAATGAGTTTGTTTCTTTTCCTCCTAAGGGACCAAAGGTGCAGAAGGGTGCTGGTACTCTGTCAGCCCACATGTGCCCTCCTCTCCCCACCAACTTCACCCTGGTGAAGTTCCCCTTTTTAGGAACGCAGGGAGGGCAGTGTTCCCTGCAAGGATGAGAGCTTGTGATCCTGGTTAGGAGCCACTTTAACCAAGATACAGAGACTTCCAATTCACCTGGGCACAGGTGCCCATCTGTGCATGGCAGGAAGCCTGTGGGTGCTGCTCCTTCCTTGGCCCAGAACTCGAGTGCGAGGAACCAGAGAAAACATAGTGCCCTGTTTGTTTACTCTCCACCCTGCTAAAATGCATGTGGTTTCACTTCTTTCCTTTGTAATAAATTGTGCCCACCACAGTGTATACTGTTTTAAATAACATTTTAAAATATTTTCCGGTAAATTAAAGTGATGACATGTTTGTAGGGTTCATTGTTAATTTCATTTCCTTTGGCTCAGCCAGCCAGATAAAATGCAATGTTATTAATCTTTGTTTAAAAGAAGATCCTTTGCCGAACAGTAATAAATGATCTTGATAGATTTGTCAGGAAAATGAATGATAATCATTTGCAGATAGACACGAGCCTAGTATGGAAGATTAATAAGAAAATATGTATTGGCGTCATTAATAACATCTGCTGCCAATGGACTCGTATATTGGTTGCAGCCCTGAGAGCGATGTGTTCTTGTTAGGCTGCTGCGATCCATCCCGTGCTGTGAGGAGCTGCTCGGTGCTCCTGGGGTGATGACAGCCTGCTCCCCAGGAAAACCTCCCAGGATCCCGATGCCGACACCGCATCCGCCGTCGGATGAGCCCGTCATTGCCAAAGCCCCGGCTCTCAAAGAGCAGAGGGGCTGAAATGAGGAATAACACGAGAAGGAAACTCACCCCATCCTCAGTATTCAACCAGGAGGAAAAATATTTTTTTTCTTCTATAGATCTTTTTTATTTGGGGTTTTTTTTTTTTTTTTTTGCAGCTAATTATGTTGCTTTCCTTGAAAATACATGGAAAGGTCAGGACGTTTTTGAGACAGCTTTGGTTTATTTCAATGAAACATTTCGGACTCCCCCTCCCCAATAATTCTTTTTCCTTTTGTTTCACTTCAGTGGTTCAAAGCAGAGCAGTAAGTCAAATAAATTTACCAATGAAATGTGTTCCTCCTGTGGGGTGCACAGCTGGCTGCATCTGGCAGTGCGGATGTCTCCATTCCTTCTCAGGGCCAAGCTCAGAGATGCAGTCACAGCTCTCAGGAAACATTGCTTTAACTGACATAGACATCAGCATTTTAAAGGAAACTTCATCTTCCAGGGCCCAGGAGGTCAGATGGGGAGGGGAAGAAATCAACATCATATAATCAAAGATCAAAAATATTTGTGCCATTAAAAAAACAACAACAAAAAACCCACAAAAACAAACAAACAAACAAAACCCCCCAACCAACCAAAAAACCAAACAAAAACCAAACAAACAACAAACAAACAAACAAAAAACAAACCAAAAAAACCCAAAACAACCAAACAACCCCCTCCCAAAAAAAAAAACAAACCGTAGTCAAATTCAGTTCTATTCTCTGCAAAACTGAATTTTTCTTGGGGGGAAAAAGATAATCTCAAGTGTTAAAAAAAAAAAATGCCCCAGTTTTGCTCATCCTGTCCTGCATTGCTTTCCCCATGGCTTCAGCAGATGTGTGGCCAAAAAAAAGCCAATAAGGCCACGGAGCCAAGTGCTGCTGAGGGTCTCCGTGGCTCAGGAGCACACAGCACCTCACGGCTCTAGGCAAGGAGGTGAGAGCCCTGATATTTCTAAATGCACTAAAAACGTACCTGTTATTATTAGACATTTACCAGCTCTTAATCACAGCTGGTAACTTGATTTCCTCTAAATGTTTTGAGGCACCCTCTGATCCGGGCACTACCTGCTTGAAACCGAAGAGTGGAAAGGCAGAACAAATTCTGTGTTGTATTCCTCTTCCCCAGGGATGGGTGGGCAACTGATGGGGCTGAGATCTCCCTTGTTCAATGGAAATCTACTTTTTCCTCTTAGAATAAGCAAATGCTTATACTGACCTGCATAAAGCCAGCACAGACCTCATCCTGCATGGCCAATTCAGTCTCCTCCATCCAAACTGAGGACAAGCAGTGGAACCATGACCCGGGCTTCCTGAGCCAGGTGGAAACAGAGCCTTGTTTCTTCTCTCCTTGATGAATCATGACTCATTTTCTCTTCCCTGCACAGCCCATCCCTGGTGACCTGGACATGTCCCTTGGATGCTGGAGTGCAGGATCACATGCTTGTGGGCATTTTTAGCCTTCTCTAGGTGAGCATCCTAACCACCAGGCACAGATATTAACAGGGGTTATTGCTGTCTCTCTATGGTTTAAAAGATTATGGCTGTGCCACAAACCACATGTGGCACCAGGATGGATCAGAGAAGCCTGAACTTGCTCAAGAAAGCGAGGCCCTGGATCAGGTCCCAGGGAAGGATATTTCTTTTCCCTGAGACAGCAGGGTCACCGTGGTCCCAGGGAGCCCTTCGTGTGTCAGTGCAGGACAGATCACCACAATAACCCAAAGTCAGGATTGGCTTGGTTACTAAGGCATCTTTATTGCTGGTAATGCTGTCAAGGGGTAGCATCAGCCTGATGAGCAAACAGGCTGGGGCTGTTGTGAGACCCACTGTCACACAGCAGAGTGGGCAGGATGGGGGGCTTGGGAAGCAGGAAGAAGCTCCCTGTTCCCACTGCTGATGCCAGCAAGGCAGGAGGGGTGGGGTGGAAGGGGTCCAACACAGGTCCTGGGGTTGCTGGGGAGCCAAGGTTGTCACTGCTGAGCTAATCCAATGGTCTCCCACTGAATTAAAAATTAAATTTGAATTTTAGCCATATAAAAAAGCTGCAGAGTGTGTTTAAGTCTCTTTCTGCACATCAGTGTAAACCAGAAGTCCTTCCCCTAAATGCATAAGTGCAAAGTCAGCCCTGAGAAAGAACCCAGCCACAGCTGGGCTTTCCAAAGCCTTTGCTCCTTGCTGGGCTTGGCTTTGCACCTTTAAACTTGACCCCAGACCTCCAGACTTGGCCCACATCCCAGACGTGACCGGTGTTGAGTCTTGGTCTCACCCTATGGGGAAACTGAGCCCCACAGTCATTCCCAGCAAGCAGTGCCTCCAGGGGAGGGCTGTGCCACAGAGTGCCAGTGGGTCCCTCCAGGGACCATCACCAGGGGCTCTGTCACCTGATGCTTCCAGCTTAGACAGGAAGGTGAGAGAAACCACCTTCCCACCTCAGCTGAAATATGCCCACAGGAAGACATTAATGGCCAGCAGGAGAACAGCATTGGCATTGCAAACAGCCTTCCACAGGGGCTTTTCCTCAATGCTGGTGAGTCTCTGCTCCAGGGTAGCTCTCTCCTCCTGGGACAGGGTGGGTGTGGGGCTGGTGGACAGACCACAGAACCACAAATACACCATTTTCCAGCAGGGAGGCTTGGCTGCTGCAAGAGACAGACCACAAAACGGGTGTTAAAACCTACTGACACTTTCCCTCCCTCTTCCCACTAGTTTGGAGGTGCATTAGCCAATCTGCAGTGGGGTTTGAGAGGCACCTGGGGTAGGAGATGCAATATCAGGATGGGAAAGGGAAAGAGAAAGGGAAAGGGAAACTTATCCCTCAACCATGTACAGCACAGCCTGATTACAGTCAGTTGATTGCAACACCAATCGCTCATTAGTTAATTAAGAGACCTCTTCCCCCTCCTCCCCAACCCAGCTTCCATCCACTTTCAAAAATTCCTGACAGCATGATGGTCCATTTAGAGATATCCTGGCTTGTTTATTACACATGACATGGCAGGTGAAGTGTGTGTTTTAATTGTCAGCCTGGTGCTGTGTGTATTTCAGTGGCTGTTCTTTCCAAATATAACCTTTTTTTGAAATGCAGGATGTCATAGGGCCTTGAAAAAAGGTGTTACCCTGAAAAAAAACCTCATTAAACTGTCAACTGCTGTGTTTCACATTTCCTTCCCCATCATTACTAATTACCAAAGTACCAAGACACTTGTTTATAAAAATCTGAGCTAGTTAAGTGAAATAGGAATTGATAAGAACTAATAAATAATGCTGAATGACTGCAGTCAACCCAAAACTTATTCTACTGGTCAAAAAAAAAAAAAAAAAGGAAGAGATTTCTTTAGTTGTACACTTCTGTTTGACTTGACTGTAATTGGTACCAGTGTCCTTTGGACTGACCAGCGAAAGGAAGGAGTGAAGAAATCTTGTGTATGTGCCTTTATTCTGAGGTTTCTGCTCTGTAACCTTTGAAGGTTAAGCTGAAAACCAGAAAGCTGCAATTTTTAATAGATTTGCAGAATAAAGCTCTGTCCAGTCTGAAAAGAACTTGCCTATGTAGCATCTCCTGCTACATGGTCCTGATGACTCCTTAAGCTCATTTGACCCTTTGCTTTCTTTTTTATTAGATACCCTTGGCAGGTCACACAGCTATTTAAGCTCTGAGTTTTAACCATGCCTCATATCCTAAGAGAAGATGAAAGATACTGTTGGCATTATGTAAAAGAGAGAACTGAGGCTTGTAAACATCCACAAAGTGCACAGGTCTGCTCCCTGGGCCTCACGGTCCCTTCAGATCGCGATGTTATTTTGACACAGTTTGTGGCAGCACCACTGGATGAGTTTGATCCTAGCAATGACGAGGACAGGAAGGGATGCCACTTTCACATGCTGAAAGTTGCAATTACAGAGCCTGCCATGACTTTCATAGTGCTGGTGGTAGCTGCTTGCTTTGGCTAAGGCTGCAGTAGTGCTGTGGAGCTCAGGGGCATCTTGGTGAAGCACACAAATTGATGCAGTGTCATGGCACAAAGCCCCAGTGTCAGCGGGGTGAGGGGCAGTGCCCCTGCAGCACAGACCTCCACCCTCCCAAGGGATGTTCCCAAGTGCCCATTAAACTCATCTAAGGAGTCCAGCAAACAGCTGAGTGTCCAGGCCTGAAGTGCTAAAATCAGCCTGTGACTTGGGCAGAACTGGACCAGGGTAGTTTGCATTTGTTCTAGGGAGGAGGAGGGAAAGCACTTTACTGAGTGGTGGGTTTTTTTTTTTTTTTTTTTTTGGCAGGTCTTCTGAACCATTTAGAGATTTGTAACATGAAGTGATGTTGGGAGGACCAAGAAGCACAACATTTTCACTTGTCACATCCTTATAACTGCTGTACCTGTAAATACAAGCCCAGACTCCAGTAAATGCAACAGGTGGCCTCTCATGAGCTTTAGGGACTTGCATGAGGTCCTGGCTGCGCCCTCACATGCACATGAGCGTGTCTGTTCACAGACAATCACCCTACCTGTCTCCTCCTTATCGCCTGACTCTGCACTGTTGACCAAGTCATTCTCTCTATTGGCTGAACTGATCTGTGCTGCCTCACTCTTGCAGTTTTTCAGGTCAATGGCAGGTGCTTCTCTGTGTCTGGTCCACCAAGTCAGGCATGAGAGCTGCAAAGTGGGACAGAGAACAAACAAGTTATTGCCTGTCAGTCCCAAAGTGTCATGACAGTCACCTCCCCCTTTGGGGAGCACAGGTCCAAGATGGTGCTGAAAGAACTATTTGGGGTGATCTCCCACTGTCCCTCACCTCCCTTCTGCACAGGTGGTGCCATCCAAACGAAATGAAAAAGCTGAGGAAAAGTGTGAATTAATCTAGCTTCTTTCCTTCTATTTTTTTAAATAACCTGTTCCATCCCTGTCTCTATCAGGAGTAACCTTTTAGTAGCCATGGAAGAAGCAGCTTCCTCTTTATTAGTCTCACATGATTGACATGAAATAATGATGATCTGCATCCTGAATGGCAGCCCTCCAGTGGAGAGGGGTAATAAAATCAATCAAATAAAAATTAAATAAATAAGCCAAGATATCTCTCTGGTAAGAGGCACAAACAGCAGTTGTACCATTAGAAGATTTTGTTTCCAATTCTAGAATTGGGCCAATACAAGATATTACCTCCCTCTGAACTCTTTCAGTGAAAGAACCATCCAAAGCCACAGAGGACGATCAGTCCTGGCCAGGCTGCTGTGTCTGCAACCTCCTCTGCTTTACAAATGCAAAAAGGTCTGAAACTCCCATCCCAGGGCAAGTCTGAAAGTCTTCTCCAGCTGGGGAGTGCACACAGGGAGTGCACAGGAGGCAGCAACTTTGCAAACCTCTCAGTGGTCCTCTGGCAGCTGTGGGGTGGAGTTACCCA